GGCGGAGCAGAGCGAGCGCCGCCGGGGGGAGCCGCGGCCTGGCTGCCGGGGCCCGGGAGCGGCGGGGAGGAGCGGGGCGGCAGCGGCCCCTGCCGGCGGGTGGGGTGTGACCGGAGCCCGGCTGGGGCAGGCGGCGCTGAGCCTGGTGGATCCCAGCTGGGGGCGCTTGGGGCGCCGGGCTCGTCCTGGGACCAGCAGCCGCAAGGCAGCGAAGTCTAGCGGGTGTCTGTTAGCCAAGGTGCTCAGCCGCCACCCTGGGGTGCCCCTAAGGCCTCTGGCTGCCAAGCAGGGACAGGCGGGGGCTGCAGGATTGATTGTGTGTTGTGTTCATTCCCCCTGAAGCACCTGGCGTTGGCCCCTGTCCAAGGACAGGCCACTGGGGTGGATGGACCATTGCCCTGCCAGCATGACCCTTCTTAGGATTAGATTTCATAGAATGGTAGAATCTCAGGGTTGGAAGCACCCTCAGGAGGTATCTAGTATAGTATAACCCACTGCTCAAAGCCGGATCAATCCCCAGACAGATTTTTGCCCCAGATCCCTAAATGTCCCCCTCAAGGATTGAACTCAAAACCCTGGGTTTAGCAGGCCAACACTCAACCACCAAGCTATCCCTCCCCATGGAGAGATTTTTGTTGGGAAATGTCCATTTCACCTACACAGAAACCTACCAGAAATGTTCCTATCTCTACTAATGGACGTTTATAGACAGGTAAAAGAAGACAAATGCTGCCTGAGAACTTATCAGCGTTTGATTTTAAATGAAGGGGTATTTGTATTTGGATATTGGGACATGTTGACAGTTGGTGTTTTAACAGTGAGAAAGCGTTATCTTTTTGACTCTCAAATTTGACTGTTGTAAAATCATTAAAAAATAAAAATCGAATTTTGCCAAGTCTATGGAAAAAGCAGTCAGGACACCACAATTCTAGTCTCTATCTGCCACCAACCTGCTGGGGGATCTCTTGCACAAGTCTCCACGCCGTGCCTGTTTCCCCTCTGACCGTCTGTCTTTATTTAGATTGTAAGCACAGTGCCCAGGACCCAGCTGGCCCATTCATGTTGATATGGCTCCGTGTAAACATATACATCTAGGAACAAAGAATATAGGCCATACTCACAGGCTGGGGGACTCTATCCTGGGAATCAGTGACTCTGAAAAAGATACGGGGGTCATGGTGGATAATCAGCCGAGCTCCCAGTGCAATGCCATGGCCAAAAGGACTAATGCGATCCTGGGATGTGTAAACAGGGGACACTTGAGCAGCAGTACAGAGGTTATTTTATCTCTTATCTGGCACTGGTGCAACTGCTGCTGGAATCCTGTGTCCAGTCCTGGTGCCCACAATTCAAGAAGAATGCTGGTAAATGGGAGAGGATGCAGAGAAGAGCCATGGCAATAATTAAAGGATTAGAAAATCTGCCTTCTAGTGCTTGAGCTATCCATTTAACTTAACAAAGAGAAGGTTAAGGAGCGACTTGATCACAGTCTATAAGTATCTACACGGGGAACAAATATTTAATCATGGGCTCGTCAATCTAGCAGACAAAGGTATAACATGATCCAATGGCTGGAAATTGAAGCCAGACAAATTCAGATCGGAAGTACGGTGTCATTTTTTTAATGGTGAGAATCATTAACCACAAGGGTCGTGGTGGATTCTCCATCACTGATGATGGAGTGTTTGGTGAGAAAGCGCTTAGCCCTGAAGTCCTTCTTTCTCTGAGCGCAGTGGCACGGCCTCTCTGCTGTGTGACGGCTGGTGTGTTCTCAGCAAAGCTCCTCTCTTGCCATGGGCAGCAGTACAGTCTGTCTGTGTGGGGTTTTGGAGCGCCTGGTGAGGGGGTGTTGCTCAATGAAGCCTTTCCCACACACAGTGCAGCAGAAGGGCCTCTCCCTGGATTGGTTCATTTGTGAATGGGGAGATATGATCTAAAGCTAACGCTTTTCAGGCACCTAGAGCAATGATATGGACTCCTCTCCAGGCCTTGCGAGACGCTGCTTTTGGCTAGAGCTTTCCACACAGCTATATGGTTCCTTCGCCACAGGAGTCTCCAGATGTTCAATAAAATCCAAGCTCATAGAATCATAGACTATCAGGGTTGGAAGGGACCTCAGGAAGTCATCTAGTCCAACCCCTGCTCAAAGCAGGACCAATTCCCAACTAAATCATCCCAGCCAGGGCTTTGTCAAACCTGACCTTAAAAACCTCTAAGGAAGGAGATCCCACCACCTCCCTA